TTTTGTTCCTGCTGATCGATGATATATTATTCTAGTGTATATTTTGAATCATTAAAGGGCTTTCGCACCAGCTTTAATTTTATTATTTACAACAAAAAAATGAGCAAAATAAATTAAGGAGATTATATTGTACTTGCACCGTTCATTGTTCATTAATAATATTTTGGGTTAATTTATGCTTTTTCTTTGTTTATTGGACTAAAATGGGATAGTGCTGGTTACTTGCCACTTCCCCGTTTTAGGGTTATTTCTTTTTGTTTAGCCATCCAAATAATGTGTCGGTCTTTAAATAAATTATACGCGAGAGCACGCGGCGATGGCCTTTCAAGCACGTATCAAATCATTGTCTTTGGCAATGAATCATTGTGCTCAATCCTTGTAAATTCTTTTCTTCTCAATCCCAATGCTTATGTATATAGAAATATTTGATCAGATCACAAGCTAGGATATGTTATTCAGAAATTAGTTATTGATTGCATCAAATATATATATATATATATATTTTATTTTAAAAAACACGACTTAATTTCAAATTTCAATCCACAATTTTCTTTACCATCATTTGTGCTGTCTAAGACTGTTTCTTTTGCGTTTATTTTTTAATTTTATCGTATAGTAAATTTTAGATAACATTTTGTTTAAATATAAATTTCTTATTATATAAGGTTAAATTTTACTTTGATCATTCTCGTAATAAATATTTATATTAAATATCAGTATAAGTTTGCAAATTTTAGCCTACTCGTCGCAGAGTTCCTACTTTATTTGTTTGCGAATTTCGATCAGTTTGATATTAAAAAGCTCAAAGAATGGACTTCACATTAATTAGTATTTGCCTATTTGGTGTATATAATTATATTTTTTTATTATGGAAATATAAAATGATGCTTATTAATTACTTTCCCGAGATTTATATATAAGAAAAAATGTTTAAAATTTTTAGACTAAAATATAAATAAATTTTAATTAAATCATTCTTATTTAATGTTGTTAATCCAAAAATACATTTATAATAATAAAGAATATCATTCATGAATGTAATTAATGATATTTTAGAAAATATAATAGTTGGGATGCAAATAAAGTCTCACATGATTTAAACAAGAGGATGAACATGAATTTATATATACATCATTATTTTCATCAGTTAAAGGAGTTTTTGAATGATGTTCAAAAGTAAAATCGTGAATATTTAGGTCTAAAACGGATAATGCCTTATCAATATAGAGATATGTATATGTGTGTTAACTCTCGATATACAGTAATAATGTATATTTTATGTAAAATTAAATGAATTTTAAAAAATTTAATTATGTAAAATTAATGTTTTTTACTTCAATAAAGGTGGAGAGGGAGTACCTCTTTATTTTGGATATCAATGACGCATTTAAGATGCATACATGAAATGAAATGAATCATATATATATGACATTTTATGTTTACAAGGCAATGTTGAAGAATTTATCTAATAATCTTGTGTACTTTACAATTTTGCGCATTGTTTTTTTTTTTTATTAATTATTTTTTTACAATTCAATTATGATGTTTTATTTAATCGTCAAGATTTTACATTAATTATATTAAGTTTAGTATACCTATCTTAAATATGATATTTTGGACTATCCTCAACCTTGTATTTTCAATTTTAATCATGAGAGGTGTTTGATGAGATTGTATCAATTACAAATAGGACCAAAAACAATACTTAAATGAATTAGATAATCTCTTCTCATATGTTAATTGTTAATTAGGTGTCTGAGGAGAGATCTATTTACTTTAAAATAAATCTACTTAAATTCACTCCAATTCATTTATTTTAGAGTAAGTCTACTTAAATTTATTTTACTTAATAACTCATATTCGATCTATATTAAATTTTAATAATTCAATTGTTAAATTAAATTTTTTTAATACATATATCAAATCTGTAAGAAAAATTTAAAATTGAAGACTATTTGGTACCCTATTTCATTAATTTAAATCAATGTAAATAATATTTTATATGATTATTTATCAATTTGAATTAAAGAAATGGAGTATTAAATATTTTTCAATTTTGTTTTAAATTTGTAGACTTAATCTATGTATCAAATTTATTCCAAGAGTAAGTTTACCTAGACTTAATAACTCATGTTTTACATTAAATTTTAACGATCCAACCATTGAATTTAAAGTTCTTATTGCATGAATCAAATATGCAAATTTTTAAAAAATTTAAAAATCATTTAATACTTCATTTCATTAATTCAAATTGACGGATAATCATAAAATCATTTTATCCTTCAATTTAAATCAATGAAATAGAGTATCGAATGATTTTCAAGTTTTTTAAAAATCTATAGACTTGGTCTATGTAGTAAGAACTTGAAATTCAACAGTTAAATCATTAAAATTTAATATAAAACATAAGTTATTGAATGAAGTAAATCTAAGTAGACTTATTCCTGAAGTGAAGGGATCCTCCTCATATATATATATATATATATATATATGTGTGTGTGAGTGTGTGTGTATGTGTGTGTAGGAGAGGGGGAAGGCTTTTCAAATTCTCCTATTTTTAAAGACCGTTATTCAGTTGAAAAGTCATTTGCACGAAAATACATGAATAATTGTTTTAATGTAATAGCAAATAATGAATTGTTTTTAATAAAAATAAAGTGACGAATGGTGATTAGATAAAATGTTACTCAATCAAAATGATTTGTAAAATTTCCTACTCATCACTCTTTGTAAAATATAATAGTTTTCTTTACTTGATATATGGGAGTGAGAAAATAGTGGAGGGAGAGAGATGATAGATTGGGAGGAGATGGGAGAGAAGAGAGAAAGAGGATGGAAAAAGGGAACAAAGCAAGTAGAGAGAAAAGGAAAGGTTCATTCCCCTCCGAAAATTTTATTTTTTTTAAATGTACTTTTTCCTTTTGTTTTGTAAACATTAAAAAGTATTTAAGTTTTAATAGTTTTTTTTTTTTTAGAATTTGTGTTTAGTCTAATTTATTGTTGAAAAAAAAGGTTAAAACAAATACTATCTTAATCATTTTTTTTGTATATTAATCATGAACTTATATTTTTTTAGGAGTGTTTTTAGGAATTTATCTTCGACAAAAAGATTTTTAGATTTTTTTTTAATTTTTATCTAATTCAATTTTTTTATTATAATTATTTATGAATTAAATTTTAATATTTTTAAAACAAATTACCAATAAATAAAAAATAATGTGCTATACAATTTATATTATTTATAAAAAAAATAAAAAATACAATTAACGTTCACTTAAAATCAGTTTTGTAAAATTAATTAATTTTTTTAGGTAATTAAACATAATTTTGCAGTAGCATATTCTTATTTTTATAAAAATATATTAAAAAATTGATTTTGACACAATATTGTTCAAAAACATACAATCAAAACTGATTTTATTAGCTGTACAATTACCAAAATGACTTGATTATAACCAAGAAACGTACGTCGAACTAAATAACATGACTAAGAGAATACATATATAACAAATAACATATGACTTAAGGTTAATAATGTTGATGCAAAAACTACTTCTAATAACGTCAATGAAAGTTGAGTCTAAAACTTGGAATTATATATGTTTCCAATACAATAAATATCATGGTGAATGAAAAATTATATTTAACTCATTCTAAACTCAAAGAGAGACATATGTGAAATTTAAATCCAAACACACCTTAAACCTTTTAAAAGACGTACCTCATAAATTATTTAAGTATATCAGTATTATTTCCTCTGAATTTTTTTGTTATATAATTTTGAGTTACGTAAACAACAAGCCGAGCACGTCATATCTTAAAAATAAAAAAAAACACCATAATGGCAACAATTAAACATTCTATGCAGCTAAATACAGGAGAGAAAAAAGTGAAAGATGAATGAAGTAGGGGAAGAAAAATTAACCATGTATAAAAGCTGAGTTGATATTATAAGGGTGGACCTAGGATAGGGCAAAATAGCAAAATAAATAATGAGAAGAGGAATAAGCTTAAAGCTGAAGAATGGGTGTATGAGAAGTGACTAATCATGAAAAAGTACGACTTTAGTAATTAAAAATGTAATGGCTAGTATCAGTTGGCACACGCTTATCATTTTTATTTATGACTTTATGAGTTGACGATCGAACGATTAATATCGCACCATACCGTTACCCCTTGGGATCATATCCACCCTTTCTCGAGAGAGTACATATCAAATCTTGGTTTTCTTTATAAAGGTGTGGTTACTTAACATAAAAGAAGTTACATAAAGGAATTTCATAAAGAAAGAAAAAGACACGAAGCATCATTGCGATATTAATAAAGCATGCGTACTCACTCATCTATCTTTCTTTTGTTGTTTTGGCTAATCAACAACAAAGCCTGTGTTTCAATCTTGTAATGCAAGTTTTTTCTGAAAAAAGTTTTCCTGATTTTGCAATCCATTCATTCCAATGCCAGATTCTTCCATATATACCTCATAGCTCGATCTCTTGAAAACTTTTTACCCCGTTTAGTATTGTCAACAGCATGCCTGCTTGACCTAAATAAAATGTTCTTATTTGAAAAGGACACAAGGATTTTAGGCTGCAATAAGTACAGATACTGACTTAAGCATCATGCTACGTTGTCACTCATTATTGATTCCTACTTATAAGGAGGAGAATATATAATAATCAGCAATACTGTTTTTTTTTTTTTGGTTTAAGATTTAGGGTTTTGGGGGGTTCAAGTTTAAGCTAAAACATTGTTGTTCATGTTGTGTATTGAGTTTGGGTTGGCCACTTGAGCATACTAATAAAAAGTTGGGCTTGACTCGTTAGAGTGGGTGTTGCCAAGAAAACCGTGTATGGGTTTAAACATGATCAAGCCTAGTAGGCACAAAGCACTTGGCAAGGAAAACGAATAAAATAAAAACTTATAAGTTTAAAAATATTTATTTTGTTACAAATTATGAATAATATTTATATATCATCGTGGAACGATAAGATATTACTGAAAGAAAGACGAGTTAATTAAAAGGAAATGAAAAAGTTGTTTAACATCTGATAGTTACCGAACTTGAAACTATTTTGGAATTGTCTAATCTAATTAATTTGTATCACCATCATATAGCAAATAATTTCCCCTTTTTTTTTGCTCGTTTTAAATATTTTATTCATGTGTATCACATCATAAATACCTTTCAAAGATATGAAATTAAGAAAAATTGATCAGAATAAAGTTATAAGTGGGAAGAAACAATAGAGAATATAATCCAATGCAACACTCCCTTAATAAGTTAATTAAAATTAAAAATAGAGTAGGACAGATGCCGTCTTGAAAAGGATATTCTTTTTTACCACCAAATTAAAGAAAAGGATATTATTTCTAAGCAATGTTGCTTTCTTCAATATATTTCTTTATTTAGTTTACTTTTTCTTACATCACATCTCCGTTTAGATACATGCATGGAATGGGGTTTACATATTCTATATAATATAACATATCTTTCCCTTATAGTTTTTGTTTGCTTCCCCATCTCTTTCTTATCGCCACCTGTGTTAGTAAAGAAGAAATTAATATCAAACAACAATTTCAACACATTAGATATATTTATATTGGAAAGAAGAGCTGGAAATTAGTACATATATAGTAAAGAAAATTAGTTTTAGAGATATTTGTGAAAATTAGATACCAATACTATATATACTATTGGCTCATATGAATCTATGATTGATTTCTACCGCTTCTACTCATTCACAAAACTAAATCTTTATTAATATTTGTTTATTTATTTATGTTTATATTTTTTATGATATATAGTTCATGGTTTAATCCCATTAATTACAAACCATGCTTCATTGTTTTTACATGTTTAGCTAGTACATTGTCAATCCATTCAGAAGTCTTGTACGAAATGGCCAGCAGGATGAACAAAAAGATTCTGCGGAAATATGAGTGAAACGGGGATTTATCGCACAAATATTATTTAGATAATCAATTTAAGGAAATATTAGTCGTCAGATAATGATGGCTGGTCAATTTGATTAGCACACAAACATATAGTCTTAATTACCAAATTCTTCTTTATGACAATAAACACTTCATTACAGGATACATTGTGACAAGCGACAACAACATGTGTTGAATATTAAGTACTAATTTATTCTCCCAGACTTTGATTTTATTTTTGCTACTAACATCTTATTCTGTTTGACAATACAGTAACTGGATAGTGGATACTGTGGTAGATATGTGTGGAGAAAAATCAAATCATTGAGATCCTTTAAGCTTCTTTGCAATGCCCGCCAAGTACTTTCCTTGATATGGAAAGCTTGAGCCAATTAACTCACTTGGCTGCCTTAAGTTATCAGTACCAGCATAAGTTCCTGCACCATATGGGGACCCACCTTTCAACTTCTCCATCTCAAACATTCCATTACCAAATGTGTATCCAATCGGCACAATTATCATTCCATGGTGAACAAGCTGAGTGATAGATGTCAACCTGTACAATATCAAAAAACAAACAGTAACCAACTTGCTTAACAAGATATACGCATTTCCAATGTACAATAGTTTTAAATCGTCAATTAATAAGATATTACTGTTAGTATGATTATTTATTATAAAAATTAACAATTTATCATAAATAATAATTTGGATTCATGAAAATATGTACGTACATCGCGTGTTTTCTTTGAATGTCTCATTAATTAGTTTCATACCCCATGTTGGATGGATCAAAATAATTAAACATTGATGGAAAGTGGAAACATATGAATACAATTAAAGTGACTCACGGGGTAGTTTCTTGGCCACCTCCTTGAGAACTAGTGCTATAGAAGAAGCCTGCAGGCTTTCCGGAGAGTGCCTGTGCATGCCATAGGCCCACAGTTGCATCTAGAAATGCCTTAAATTGAGCATTCATAGATCCAAATGTTGTGGGAAAACCAAATAAAAAACCATCAGCATCAGCAAGCTCACGGGGTTTAATGATAGGAACATCACTTTTTGGAGGTGCTCTAATCTTCCCAAGGACTTCTTCAGACAATGTTTCAGGTACCTGTATGCATAAAAATATTTTAAGTGTAGAAAGGAAATTCCTTTATTTGTTATCACCCATTAGGGAACATGGTTAAATCGTTTTAAATAATAGTTCACCGTGTTTAAAAAGGAACGTGAGGCAAAAAATTTGGTAACATTGTGACACGTGACAGGTGGCTATGGATACTATTGATTACAATCAATATTTGAACACTATGTTGACAAGAGTCAACTCCTCCACTCTTTCAGAATTGGTTAAAAATTATTCTGTTAAAAGTATCTTTTTAGTATTGGAAGGATCCCCATTCGTAGAATTCTACTAAATTAAAATAAGTATCATGACATAATGACAGTATGTACTGTTAATTATAAGAGTAGGAATTAAAATAAGAGCACAGATACGTGGGTATTTTCTTCCCCTTAATACATCATGATCACGTACATGAATGAAAATGAAAAGGTTTACAAACCTGCCAGAGTTTTGCTTCTACTCCCTCCACGGAAGCAACCCCTTTTTCTATCTCTCTAGCTAGCTTCTCAACATGTCCATATGTAGAATAATAACTAAACATGCAATGCAAATTCCAATCAGAGTTACGTATACGGTAGATAATGAAATACAGTAGACATTAACTATAACTTCAGGAGCACGGATATGATATACTATTATTGGTCTTATGATACTGATCAATATGAAAGTTTATTAGAAACTGAAATGATGGAGCTAAGAAACTCTACTAGCTAGTCAAAAAATTAAATGGGTTCAAAGACCTTGTGAAACCCCCCTTCTTCTCCCCAAACTTAAAAGTCAAACTCTTTCTCCCAACTTTTTTTTATATATCTTTTTTGTTTTCGAAGTGATATGATAAGAAAAAGTAACGCTAAATCAATTTATAATTATACAGTTCAAGAATCTAAACATTTCTAATGAGAACATGGATTTATAAATTGACGAACTCTGAAAGAGTAAAGTGATTAAAATGAAATATATTTTATATCTCATTCCTTACAACGCATATATATATTAACTCAGTATAATAAATTGTCGCAAAAATGATGGTTATCAAAAGTATTTGTTTTAAGAAAAAATTTATGTAAATGAATAATTTGGTATGAATTCATCAACAAGAAAACTTATTTATATTGTATAATATAAAAGTTGAGTTACGAAGTTATACATTACCACATGAATGTATTCTTAAGTCATATATTATCACATCAATATATTTTTAAATCATCCATTATCACATTAATATATTCTTATTTATCATCTCAATTAATTTATTTACTAGTCAATGTTTTAGGAATTTTACTTTCTATTATATTCTCTCAATTGAATAAATAAATCAATTGATAATATTTCTTTTATACTCTCATTTCTGTTGGTATTCATTCACTCTCCTAAATAATCTAAAGCGCATTCCTTCCCATTATCTATTGATATTCAATTCATATTCTTTTTTTGCGACAACTTTTGTGGGTATTGCTTATTTGAGACAAATGGATATTGTTGATATTTGCTCTCTTAAAAAGATAAAATCTTATTCGCTTGTAAATTTTTTGATGATATTTCTCTTATACTCTCACATTTTTGTTGTTATTTATTCACTCTCCTAAATATTCTAAAGCATATTCCTTCTCACTTCTACCTTCCCACTATCCATTGATATTCAATTCATATTCTTTTTCCATAACAATTCTTGTGGATATTACTTTTGACATAAATAGATATTGTTGATATTTCTTATTTTTGCTCTCTTAAAAAGACAAAGTTTTATTCACTTGTAAGTTTTATGATGATATTCTAACATTTTTGTTAGTATTCATTCATTCTCCTAAATATTTTAAAATACATTTCTTAGCCACAATTCTCTTGAAGATTGCTTATTTAGGACATGTGAAGATTATTGAAATTTCTTCTATGATCTTGTCTATTTTAAAAATGTCTAATTTGCGTATTTTTATTACATTGTATTTTGTATTTCTTCTTCACACTCTCTTGAATGTCTAAAATGCTAACAATTGTAAAACATTGTTTTTTAAAAACATAATACTATTTTAAATTTTGTTGAATGTGTTTCATAATTTTCATTGAATCTTTACAAGTTTTGTAACAATCTTTTGATATTTTCAATTCATCTTTATTATATATGAGACGAACTCAACACTTTCACTCGCCTTCATCTTCAATGGGGTTGATGTTTATCATCCACGGGCCAGCACCATTGTTGCTATTCAATCTCAAATGCTCTAAGGCAAAACAACTTCGTGGCAGATTGGTTGGCAAAAGAGGGAGTTAAATCTACTTCTCAATTTAATCTTACAGCTATATGTCCATCAACTCCCCTTCCTTTTGTTTTAGTGGATGCTATGAGTACTTTATTTGTTAGGTCTTATGAATAATAAAAAAACCATGTTATGAATGATTCATATTCAAATTTTATGAATGTTCTAAGGCATAATTCTCATTACATTTATATATCGTAGAGAATAAGAAAAATGTTAAAAGTGTAAGAAAAATCCAATCAAAAGATTTTTATCAATAAATTATGAAAAAATTAATTACATTTGTCAATTATTATTATTACATTTTTGTGCATAGCTTAATTTGTAACTTTAGAAATTATGACGAATTTAACTCAAATTTAATCATATCAATCTAATTTCAACCCAAATTTAATATTATTATTATATTTTAAATGTAGGATTTATATATAACGATCAAATTAATAAAACCTTAACAAATTTGTAACCTTAAATTAATTATTTGTTAATTTTACACATAATTTGTTCTACTTATTATTTTGTTTCAATTCAGTTGATTTATTATGCTTTATGAATAATCATGCAAATTTGCATTAAAGTAGACCTTAAATATCTACATGATAATGATGCAAATCATTTTAAATTCAAAATGATATTAATCAATACAAACTAATATTTTTAAAAATTCAGTATAAAGTTCAACGGAATACATCAATATAAAAAAAATAATATACTGTAATCAATGAATTTTATTTTAATTCCTCTCATATAAAGGAGTATGTTAAAAAAAATCATTAGTTTTATATAAAATTTTATAAAATCTAATTTATAATTTTTTTGCACCATTCTAATTTATAATTTAAGTAATCTTATTTCTATTTATTGTTTTGCATTAATTTTGCTCAATCATTTTATTATAGGAGAGTTATAAAATAGATAATATAGTATGTAAAGTTACAAATTATTTAAATTTGTATTAAATTGACCGTTATATAAACTCTACATTTAAAACAATAACATTAAATTTGGATTGAATTTACATTAATATGATTTTACATATTTTTAATAAAAAAATTATATTTTTTTTTATCTAACTTTCACAACCCAATAGAAATTATTTTCGTTTACAATTGAAAATTGCATTAATAATATCATAAATATGACTATAATTAAGCTCCTTATATTGTAGGTTAAAATAATAGTTTTTCTATCTATATAAACTTTGTCGGTAATTGATTAATTTGTCAATGTTTGTGTGATTTATTTCTTTATATATAAAAAATATACAAAAAAATTTATTTGCTCAAAATGTAATTATTTTTTGAGTCACCGTGTATAAGTTTAATTTATATATTATTATTATTATGTAATTTTAATTTAATAAATTGATTAAAAAAAGTATCAAAGAAGTTAAAGATAAAATATGATATTTATTATATTATATTTAGTAGCAAAACTTAAAACAAAAATTTAAAGGACCAAAAATAATTAAAATTAAACTATAAATTAATTATAATAATTTTGATAGTATAATTTAATTTATTATATAATAATTATATATTTAAGAAAAACTCAGTATTTATATCAATTTAAAGCGAGATCTTAGTATTATTGTCGTGAATATTATCAATGTAAAAATTAAAAAAAAAAATTGTTGTGATAAACTTATATTTAATAATTTTAAAAAAATCACACCTAAAACTAACTCATAAAATAATATTTAAAAAAATTAAATTATTATCAATTAAAATAGTTAATTTATTTACCTAGACTTATGAGCGGATCTATATCTAGTTTCGATACTAATAGTTTATCTCATATAGTATAAAAGTTTAATTTCGATAATCAAGCCTTCCTATCGAACAACGATAAAAAAAAATAAAAATAAAAAATAAAAAGAAGAAGGGATGAGTTTATTAATAATAAGAAGAAGTGTTGTCTCTCTCTATCCCTCTCTTTTTTAAGTTTTAGGTATTAAAAAAACTAAATAATTTTTTATAACAGAAATAAGTAAAAAAGACTATGTTAACAAATCTAATATACTAAAATTTCATATTTTTTAAGTTAAAATTAATTTTTTATAATTCTTTTTTACACTCATCTAAACAAATGGGAAAAAAAATCCTACTTCTTTTTTCCAATTTCTATTCATGTAATTAATACAATTTTTTAAATTCTATTTCTATTTTTTAATTTCTTTGATTCTTTATTTTCTATTTCATTTATATGCATTTTACTCTTTATTCAAATAAAGCAAAAGTGTTGTTTTTTGGGGGACGTATTGATGAAGGGTTAGAACTTAGAAAATAATAAGGTTCCATGCAAGCCCATTTGGAGCACATGTTTGCAGGGTCTGTAGTACTATGGGCCTGGTGTCTTCAGTTGAGTAGCAGGCCCTCTTACATGGGAAAGCCCTTAAGTTCACAAACTTTCCGGAATCGACTCATCCTCCTCCGGACAAGATAACCACACTTGTACATTTTTACAAGTTTCATAAAATCTCATAACTATTTTTTTTTTCTTGACTTACCAATTTTAATCTTAATGACATATAATGAAAACTAATGATTAATATTTATTCATAAAAAAATCTCCCTCATTATGTATTGATATTTACGATCGATATATTAGATTTGTGACTAGGTTTACATAAATAGAGATATATATTAGAAAAAAAGGAAGAAATTATAAAATAATATATTAGTATTTTCACTGACATGAGAATACATTTATTTTAAAACGAAGTGTCATCGTAATAAAAAAAAATCTCAACTTTTATATTATAAATAAATATAAATCTAACTGAAATGGCGCTTGGTTAGTATTGAATCTAAATTTGTTGGTACCAAAGAAGAAAAGGGTTTGCTAAGCCTATCATGATAGATTGGTAGTGTTTAATATATTTCTAAACTATTTCTAGATTCTAGACCTTGTTTACTTTTGGGAGAGAATGGTGAACCAATCAAGTACTTTCTTTCCAGAATTAGGTAGCGTAACTGATACATGTGATGTGACTGATCGTACACTTATCCAAAAAAAAATAACATTCTCATAATTGATCCTACGACTAAAACAAGTCTAAGCGTGATGATTTAATTTTGAATCAGAAACATGCACCAGTTATGTTTCCAAGGAGTCAACGACCCTCTTGTAAAGTAACAGTTATGTGATTGGAACCAGAATTGAGTCCAGCACCACGAGATGATGAATTAGTATCAGAAAAAAATCTCTCGGAATATAATCCTGGCCTTCCAGGTTGTGGGACCAACACACTCTCACTGTTCAACATCAAAAGCACCGACGACATTGTTGGCCTATCTTCTGGGTGCTGTTGCACGCATGACAGACCCACTTGAATGCATCTTAGAGCTTCACGTGTAGGAAACTCATTCTCAAGCAATGGATCCATCAGCTCTAAGGCCCTATCTTCATTCCATAGCTTCCAAGCCTAGCACATTTCCATGGTGGCATATTATCATTGTATAAAATATTAAAATCCTAGTTATTCATTTATTGCAAATTGAATAAGTATAGTAAGATACTAAGAGATACTTGTTGACCATTGTCCATTATACTTACATGGCCAAGGAGATTCAGTTTGTGATCCGGGTGAAGAAATCCTTTGTTTTTCTTGCTGCTCAACAGCTCCAAGAGTAAAACCCCAAAGCTGTAAACATCTGATTTGAAAGAGAAGTGTCCATCTATTGCATACTCTGGAGGCATATATCCACTGAAACAATTGCAAAGGGTAAAATGATTAGAAAAGTAGTGGAAAGTTAAGTCATGTATCTTTGTACTTACTAGGTTCCCACTACTCTCTTGGTCTTTGCTTCAGTTTGATCTCCACCAAACATTCTTGCCATCCCAAAGTCAGAAATTTTTGGGTTCATTTCATCATCTAAAAGAACATTGCTTGCTTTTAGGTCTCTATGGATTATTCTCAGTCTTGAATCTCTGTGAAGGTAGAGAAGTCCCCGAGCAATGCCAATAATTATGTCTAGCCTCTTTTGCCAACTCAGCACAGAACGCTTGTTTTCATCTGATTCAGAAGTTATACAGTATATTATGATTAAGTGAAACTTGTTTAATCAAACTATGTGTTTCTATGCGTGCATGTGATTGTGGAATAGTTGAGAGACCAACCAAATAATAAGGAGTCCAAGCTTCTGTTTGGCATGTATTCATAGACCAACATTTTATCTTCTCCATGAATGCAACAACCCAGAAGCTTGACAAGATTTCTATGCTGAAGTTGGGAGATCAAAATAACCTCATTCTTGAACTCCTGCAGGCCTTGTCCAGAAGTCTCTGACAGCCTCTTCACTGCTATTTCCTGTCCTGATGGAAGTTGACCCTACAAAATCCAACAGAGCCAAGATATTATCATTGTTGTCGTAAAACTGAGAGGGCAATTAGTCTTTCTTGCAGGAAAACGGAATTGACAAACTTGTTTGCTTGGTAAATAGAAAGTTTGACAGTCATATTGAATATGTGGACTGATCAACTCTTAGAATATGGCAACCAATTATATCAGAAAAGTTAAATGTTATTTAAAGAACATAATAATATTTTGAAGAGTATATTGAGATCTCAAATGTTGAAGTCATATAGACTACAGAAATGATAGAGTTCATTGTTTAAATGTTTTAAAATGAGCATTTTCCTACGGTGCAATCTGCAGGACAGTTATAAGAGACTAGTATGTAGCATTGTTTCAAATATCATTTTCTTTATAATGAACCACAAAGATAGAGTAATTTACTTTGTATACCGGACCAAATCCACCCTCTCCAATCTTATTGTAAATTGAGAAATTCCCGGTGGCGGCTTCAATTACGGCAATGTCAAACAATGGGAGTTTAAATTCATTCCTTTCACTCCTTGCTCTGCCAACACCAAACTCACCACCTGTCTCTTTGGCTGTTACAGAGGCAAAGAGCTAAGGATTAATCGGTAATCAGTAATACTAACAAATGGACAATATGATTAATCAGTAATATTTACCTATTTTCCTTCTGCATTTCTTAATTATCAACCACAATGCTGATACAATGATTGTTGAAGTTACAGATGCAGCCACAGGAAACAGTATGAGTTTCTTCCTTTTGTTTCCATCAACATTTGAACCTAACACCACAAATAAAGAGACAACATTCAATATATATAAGCGTTTAAGGAATATCGAAACTGCATTGATTATTCAGAAACAAAGAATCTTTAATATGATAAATGCACTATTGTACTAAAATAGTATTAGTTGGCTCACTCAAAAACAAGTGAGCCAGATTTCTGAAGACACTTAAAATTGGACTAAAAGATGACATGGATTGGTAGCATATACCTTCAATGTTCATACCTAATTTAGAAGCTGGAACTCTCACATAGAAATCTTGTCCATTCACAGAAACCTCTCTTACATCAAATAAATTCCCAAACCATGCAATACAGCCTTTGCCACTTGCATTGATGTCTAGCTTGGCATAAGCAACACAAGAGCAGTTCTTGGAACATTCTGCCTCACAGTGATTGATGCTGATGCTGTAGTTTGTATGAAACTCATCGGCATCTGGTAGTTTCATACCTGTAAACTGCTTGAATGCATCTCCATTGCTGCAAACATGTGCGTTCTTCCTAACACATCCACCTGACCACTGAAAACTTTCCCATTCTTGTGGAAGCTTAGGCTCAAAACCCTCCAAACACTTGCAAATCGGTGAGCTTTTGATGCTACAAAAGCCATAAGCACCACAAAGGCCGTAATCATCACAATGGTCCCCTTGAACCGAGAATTCAGAGAACCAACTGGAATAATGATCATTCCATGAAAAATGCTGAATCAAACCAGACTGACTCAGCACAAATCTTGAAACAATGGTGTCTTTGGTCTCATAAGAGTAAGAAACTTCATCGGAATCAAAAACAAATATGGGTTTGAAAACCGGGTTTGCGCTGAGAACCGGGTCACCTTTGAATTGTTGTCCATACCACGGTCCACTTCTGAAGACCTTCTTGTTTCCCTTGTGAAGAAAAAGCTGAGGAAGGCCACGTGGATCCACACTGTAGGTGTATTCTCCTGAAGAAGGATCAGAAGTGCTTTTCCACGAAGTCAAATGTCTGCTCAAGCCAGTTCTGAAGTTCCAACCAAGCTTCATTCCTGGTATCAATGTGTCAGAAGGATAATCAAAACTCTCCCACAAAGATCCTTCATTTCCATAGTCCTTCAACACAAAGTTTCCAGAGTCTAGAAGCTGTGCCACAGGGTTTCTTGCAGGAGCAGATGAGTTTGAGGACCATATAACACTCCCTGTGTGGCCGAGAAGTATGAGCTTACCATCATTGCTGAATGTTAAGGAGCCACCAGAGTTAACAAGTGGTTTGTCTCTATTTGCAACCCAAATAACTGTCTGTTTTGGGATATGCTTGTACCATATTCCAAGATAGATGTAAGTGGAATTCACAGGACTGAAGAAACCAAGTTCAAAATTTTGGGAAGGTGAGACTAGTGTCTTGTTGCCACTGATGGTTTGTGGTGGAGTTATTGCATCATCTGCTTCCAAACCTGTGGGAAACAATGATATGAAATAGCAACAAGTAACAAGAAATAGAAGGGTGAACTCTGCTTTCTCCATGAGTAATTTGATCCTTTCACGTTACACTACTTAGAAAACTTTGGTTGTTTAATCTTTCTAGCTGTTCCCAGAATCTTATGTTGATCAGTCTGAATTTAATTGGCCAGTTAAATAAAGCAAAAGAAATCTTCAAATGGGAGCAGGTATACCTTTAGGGGCCTGTTAGTGTTTTCTTTTTCATAGGTCATATGAAATGTTTTGTTTTTTTTAACTCAACGTGCAACCGTGTTGGAAATTCATGTTGTGTGATCCTTTTGCATAATGTGTATTTCAAAAGTTTAAGTGTCACTTTGTTTGATATTGGAAAGTCTTTATAAATTATATCGGAAATTCTACGTCTACATGAAATATATAAATAGAAATCATTTCTATCTTATAAATCTGTTTTGTAAATCTAATCTAGGCTCCAATTCACTTCATTGATATACTATACAACTAAATAAAATTACCGTGATATGTTGAACAGTTAATTTTATTTGAATATCTCATGTAGCATCAACTTTAGGCCATCAGACTCAACAACACCAACCTTTATTGTTGAGAGACAACAGTGGAGCTACACCAAGAACAAGAAAGAAAGATGAGGCAAAGTTTGAAATTTCTTACCACGAACCCATCTAATTCGACGCTTTGCATATCTTTAATCATGCTCGATAACTAAATATTAAAATATTTGAAGATCACATGTCAAGTGAAAGGAACTGCAGATGCAGTGACTCTTCGTCAATGAGTGCTGGAAGATGTTGACAGCACCAAAGACTTTTTTACCAAACTCTTAACAATAAAGAAATATATAACCATCCATTGTTTCTACATAATAGAATGTTGCAAGTCTCCATGTCCTTACCCCACGTCCAAAACTTGTTTGTTTGTTTCTTTTCTTTTTCTTTTTTTCTTTGATCCCCCTTTTTCTGCATCTAGAATCTACATTTTTCATCGAGTTTTGCAAGCGATGCCAAAAATGTCAAACATTTGGGAATATTGAATGCGAGCGTCTTGGTATGCGTCAAATATTTTAACTTCCCATGTACGTAGTATGTATGATGTGATGTCACCTTGTTAATAGTATATTACTTTCTTCTCCGGTGTAGATGTTTAAAATTGTTAGATTCGACAATCACTTGTTTGTTTTGTATTACATCTCTAGTCTAATGTCTCATTCTTCAAACTCAACTTGTGTAATCATGTATGTTTATTAAACAATACTTCATAGAGATAACATAAGGTTACTGTTGAGTGTCTTTTATGTATGATTTACACTCAA